TGGGAATCATCAGGCTCTGATGGGCACGCTTCTAGCTGGCTTGACCTGGGAATCATCAGGCTCTTATGGGCACGCTTCTAGCTGGCTTGACCTGGGAATCATCAGGCTCTGATGGGCACGCTTCTAGCTGGCTTGACCTGGGAATCATCAGGCTCTGATGGGCACACTTCTAGCTGGCTTGACTTGGGAATCATCAGGCTCTGATGGGCACGCTTCTAGCTGGCTTGACCTGGGAATCATCAGGCTCTGATGGGCACGCTTCTAGCTGGCTTGCCCTGGAAATCATCAGGCTCTTATGGGCACGCTTCTAGCTGGCTTGACCTGGGAATCATCAGGCTCTGATGGGCACGCTTCTAGCTGGCTTGACCTGGGAATCATCAGGCTCTGATGGGCACGCTTCTAGCTGGCTTGACCTGGGAATCATCAGGCTCTGATGGGCACACTTCTAGCTGGCTTGACTTGGGAATCATCAGGCTCTTATGGGCACGCTTCTAGCTGGCTTGACCTGGGAATCATCAGGCTCTGATGAGCACGCTTCTAGCTGGCTTGTCCTGGGAATCATCAGGCTCTGATGGGCACGCTTCTAGCTGGCTTGACCTGGGAATCATCAGGCTCTGATGGGCACACTTCTAGCTGGCTTGACCTGGGAATCATCAGGTTCTGATGGGCACGCTTCTAGCTGGCTTGACCTGGGAATCATCAGGCTCTGATGGACACGCTTCTAGCTGGCTTGACCTGGGAATCATCAGGTTCTGATGGGCACGCTTCTAGCTGGCTTGACCTGGGAATCATCAGGCTCTGATGGGCACACTTCTAGCTGGCTTGTCCTGGGAATCATCAGGCTCTGATGGGCACGCTTCTAGCTGGCTTGACCCGGGAATCATCAGGCTCTGATGGGCACGCTTCTAGCTGGCTTGACCTGGGAATCATCAGGTTCTGATGGACACGCTTCTAGCTGGCTTGACCTGGGAATCATCAGGTTCTGATGGACACGCTTCTAGCTGGCTTGACCTGGGAATCATCAGGCTCTGATGGGCACGCTTATAGCTGGCTTGACCTGGGAATCATGAGGCTCTGGTGGGCACGCTTCTAGCTGGCTTGACCTGGGAATCATCAGGCTCTGATGGGCACGCTTCTAGCTGGCTTGACCTGGGAATCATCAGGCTCTTATGGGCACGCTTCTAGCTGGCTTGACCTGGGAATCATCAGGCTCTGATGGGCACGCTTCTAGCTGGCTTGACCTGGGAATCATCAGGCTCTGATGGGCACGCTTCTAGCTGGCTTGACCTGGGAATCATCAGACTCTGATGGGCACGCTTCTAGCTGGCTTGACCTGGGAATCATCAGGCTCTGATGGGCACGCTTCTAGCTGGCTTGACCTGGGAATCATCAGGCTCCTATGGGCAAGCTTCTAGCTGGCTTGACCTGGGAATCATCAGACTCTGATGGGCACGCTTCTAGCTGGCTTGACCTGGGAATCATCAGGCTCTGATGGGCACGCTTCTAGCTGGCTTGACCTGGGAATCATCAGACTCTGATGGGCACGCTTCTAGCTGGCTTGACCTGGGAATCATCAGGCTCTGATGGACACGCTTCTAGCTGGCTTGACCTGGGAATCATCAGGCTCTGATTTACACGCTTCTAGCTGGCTTGACCTGGGAATCATCAGGCTCTGATGGGCACACTTCTAGCTGGCTTGACCTGGGAATCATCAGACTCTGATGGGCACGCTTCTAGCTGGCTTGACCTGGGAATCATCAGCCTCTGATGGGCACGCTTCTAGCTGGCTTGACCTGGGAATCATCAGGCTCTGATGGGCACGCTTCTAGCTGGCTTGACCTGGGAATCATCAGGCTCTGATGGGCACGCTTCTAGCTGGCTTGACCTGGGAATCATCAGGCTCTGATGGGCACGCTTCTAGCTGGCTTGACCTGGGAATCATCAGACTCTGATGGGCACGCTTCTAGCTGGCTTGACCTGGGAATCATCAGGCTCTGATGGGCACGCTTCTAGCTGGCTTGACCTGGGAATCATCAGGCTCTGATGGACACGCTTCTAGCTGGCTTGACCTGGGAATCATGAGGCTCTGATGGGCACGCTTCTAGCTGGCTTGACCTGGGAATCATCAGACTCTGATGGGCACGCTTCTAGCTGGCTTGACCTGGGAATCATCAGGCTCTGATGGACACGCTTCTAGCTGGCTTGACCTGGGAATCATCAGGCTCTGATGGGCACACTTCTAGCTGGCTTGACCTGGGAATCATCAGGCTCTGATGGGCACGCTTCTAGCTGGCTTGACCTGGGAATCATCAGGCTCTGATGGACACGCTTCTAGCTGGCTTGACCTGGAATCATCAGGCTCTGATGGGCACACTTCTAGCTGGCTTGACCTGGGAATCATCAGGCTCTGATGGGCACGCTTCTAGCTGGCTTGACCTGGGAATCATCAGGCTCTGATGGACACGCTTCTAGCTGGCTTGACCTGGGAATCATGAGGCTC